TGGAAAGAGGAAGGCTGAGTCAGGAGTCACCAGCCAGACACAGAGGAAGCAAGATGGCAAGGCAGAACTGAGAAAAGGTACCAAGCCACGTGGCTAAACGTAGATAAGAATTATGGGTTAATTTAAGTGTAAGAGCTAGGCAGTAATAAGTCTGAGCTAATGGCTGAGGAGTTATAATTAATATAAGCCTCTGTGTGGTTTTATAGGTGGCTGAGGGACCACGGAGCCAGGCATGACTGGAGGAACACAGACTGCAGGGCCTGGCGGGACAAGAGCACTTACAGCTGGGGGGCGGGGGGAGCAGCGCTCACCTTTAATCCCAGCCCTCGGAAGAGAGGTGGGTGGATCTCTGTGCATGTAGCCTGGTCTACTTGGGAAGTTCCAGGCCAGCCAGGGCTACACAGTTAAAACACTCTCTCAAAAAGGGGGAGGGAGGGAGAGACTTGTCCTCATTCTTCACGTCAGAAATGTGGGGGCTCCCATGACGAGCAAAGTTAGTCACATAGTAATGCTGGCCATCAAACCCAGGCCTCTCCAAGTCCAACTCATCGTACTTCAATCTTCAAGCCATGTGGCAAAGATGCTTCTTCCCTCCTTAGTGTGACATCGGCTCACAGTCTTCAGTGTGTGAGAGGCTCGGGAACTTGATGACTTTGCTGGACAGAACCACGTGGTAAGGGTAAGTGCTGTGGTACCCACAGGCAATACTACTGGAAGTGGCATTCCCTGTACTGAGTGTCAAAGGGACCCTTTGAGACAAGAAATTAGGACAGAGGGTTATCTTTTATTACTTTGATTTTTTTGTTTGTTTGTTTGTTTTTGTTTTTGGAGACAGGGTTTCTCTGTGTAGCTTTGCGCCTTTCCTGGAACTCACTTTGTAGACCAGGCTGACCTCAAACTCACAGAGATCCGCCTGGCTCTGCCTCCGGAGTGCTGGGATTAAAGGCGTGCGCCACCACCGCCCGGCTTACTTTGGTTTTTTTATTGGCATAAAGAATACTGGCTTCCATTGTGGAATCCTTCCCCATGTCTCCTCACCCCAGCCCTACCCTCTGTACCCGTCCACCACCACTCACAGCCTCCTTCCTACCTTCAGGTTACACAGGGAATCTGGGCAGAATGTCAGTTAACTAGGCCCTAAGCTGTTTGGGGACCTGGCTTTTATTTTTCCCCAAACAAGAAAACAAAACTTCCTTGTTGAAAAGCAACCTCTCTATCACACGGCAAGCGTGTGCTCTGAGAAGATCACCAATGGTCTAACAGCCACACTTGGAACAGCACTAACAAGAACAGCGGCTCTCAAGGTGGCCCAGTGCATGTCCGAACCACAACAGACATCGGCACATTGTCAACGCAAGATAGAACACAGAAGATAGGTGAGCTGAAGATGCTTAGGTTCTACTATAACAGAATACTGAAATACATGTGAACACGCTAACAAAGTCTAAATGAGACTAACAGCTTAGAAACTGTGACAATATACACATAGAACTTTGGTGTCTGAAGACATAATTTAAACAAATATAGAAATGCATGCAACCTGGGAAACCAGCTGGGCACTCAGCATGCAACCTGGTAAGACTAATGAACAGAGCTGCTCAATCTGTCCAATGTGCTGGCTTCATGTGTGATCTTGGGATTTCTTCGGGGCCAAACAAAAATAAGGACTAATCATACATTTTACAAAGCTCTACAACAATCTGTATTATTTTATGAGTGTTTTGCCTCCAGGAATATATACAGACCAGGAGCCTGCCTGGTGCCCATAGAATCAGAAGAAGATAATAAACACCCTGGGACTACAGTTACAAATGGTTGTGAGCTGCCATGTGGGAGCTGGGAATTAAACCTGGGTCCTCTTCAAGAGCAGCAAGTGCTCTTAACTTTCCAGTCCTATAAATAACATCTTCAAAGAAAACTTATGGGGTAGAAAATACTGTGTATGTATAAACTCGCTGCCTTAGCTTTACGGGCACAGAGCTGGAGAGCAGGTAATGCTGGACCAGTACTCTGTGAGCATGAACTTTCCCGGGCCAATCAGGAGACCAATAAGCAACAAAGGCTGAACAGGGCCTTTAATTTTAACTTTTCTGGTTCAGATCAGCAAAGGATCCTCACTCACAGATGTCAACAGAGCTAGGAGATAAGTGAGTTGTGAGTACCATAAAGAACCATCTGGTTCAACCAAAGAGTTCAGAAAAGGTAAGGTTTATAATACATATGTACTGGCTTTGGGAAAATTACATAAATACTGATATAAAATTGATTTTGTATGCCAACATAAGAAGCTGAATCCCATAGAAAATCTCACAAAAGAAAAGAATGTTGGGGGCTGTCAGCACAACACTCAGTTACAGGGCATGGGGCCTTGGGTCTGTCTGATCCTCAGCATCTAAGAAAAAGTAGATCAGTTTTTAAAAGAATGAAAAACAACTGACTGCCTCACTTCTGCCCTTCTCCAACTGCGTGGCACAGACAAGGTGTCGTGGGGAAGTGTTCTCAGAGGCAGCTGGTGTCTATGGCGTGCACAAGTGTTGTCTTGGGAAGCCCCCCCCCCCCCCATGCGAAGCTCCTCCAAGAGCCCCTTGTTTGGGCGACGTCACCATCTTAATTACACTGTTGGCTTTCTTTGAAGCAGAATAAGAACGGCGATGGCAGCCCATGATAGAACTTTCTTTTGCAGGAAGGAATATGTCATAAGGTCATTCAGAAACTATGTTATTTTCAGATTATATCAAAAGTGACTAAAGTTGCATCAAATATACAGTAGGCATTCCATCTCAGTCCATATAAGACTGGATCCTTTCCTTGTTTGGACAGTTCTCCACTGGTGTGAATTCTCTGCTGTGTTAAATGCTGTAAAGCCCAGAGCATTCTCTACTTTTCACCAAAACATACGCACATACATACACACATAGATACACACACACACACACACACACACACACACACACACACACACAAACTAATTCCAGATTCGGCTTAACTACCAACAAAACCCTGAGTCTAATCACTTAGCCTGACTAACTGCCAAGATTCCTTACCTAGAAGACAGGTAAGATTTCATGAATACAGGAAAATAAGTTCTAAATGTTCCTGGTGATTTTGTAATTGCTTTTAAAAATCCAGCATTATTAATGGAGCTGGAAACATGGCTCCGCAGTTAAGAATGCTTGTTCTGCAATCATGAGAAACTGAGCTCAGACCCACACAACAAGCTGAGCATCACCACAAATGCCTGTAGCACCAGATTCAAGGGCTCCAGTGAGACACAGGCGTTCTCTGCTTTGAAGGACTAGGAGGAAAGTGACATAGAGCAGCATACCCTATGCATTCTTCTGGCCTTACAAGGACCCACACATGGAGAAGACAGGCAGGCAGGCTGTGTGTGTGTGTGTGTGTGTGTGTGTGTGGTCTCTCTGTCTCAATAAATCCAACATTTAGGACTGAATGATGAGGAGCAAGATGGCACAGACTTTCTTTTCCTGAAAATCTCACACACACACACACACACACACACACACACACACACACACACACACACTATAACCCTTGGGAAATGAACGACAACAAAGGAGGATTCTGAAAGGTGGTCCGGAGCTGTAGGCACGGCACAGCACAGCACAGCTCAGCACAGCTCAGCACGCCTGCTCAGCTCTACCATTTCCCACCCCAACAGCAGGAGGAGATCCAAGGCAGGTTTACCTGTAGACCACATCAATCTCAAGCTCCCCTGGCAGCATCAGACCAAATTGTACACCATGCAAGGAGGACTGATCTGAAATCCTGAGCAACTCAGGTTCAAAGTGCACACAATGGACCAGGGAGACCTAAACAGCCAGTGGAACCATGATAAATAGCTTGACCTAGGAAACCCCCTTGGTACCAGGGGCCTGAGACTCCTTTCCTTTACCCAGAAATATGAGGAAAACTATGGATGCCACTAGAGAGATCCCATACCACTTCAACAATGACTCACAACCGCCCTAGGCCTCTCCAGGCACGGGATCATGCCACAAGCAGGGAAGTCCCTGAGTCCCCACAGGCCTGACACTACCTTTCCCTACTGAGAAACAGCTTCACAGTCCAGTCAAGGGAAATTCCCTCACCCCTCACAGCCAGCCCAGCAGGAAGCAATGAGACCAGAGCCCCCGGGACAGCTGATCAAGTCAGACTCAAGTATTTTCACAAAGGCTCCCTCAAAATTGAACCACCACTGGAGACACCACACACACACACAAATCAGGATCTGTGAGCTAAAATAAATTGGGCGATTGCCTGCTATAACTCAAGATCTGCACAGCACCCAGGGTATCTTAATAGGCAGTGTATCCAGGATACAACTGAAAATCAACCATCAGAAGAGCCAGGAAAGGCACCATCTGAATGAGAAAGCTACTCAGCAGGCACTAGCCCTGGAGCAAATCAAGTCTAAAATACTTTAAAGCAGCCACCATAACATGACTTCAACAATCAAATATAGAAAATCTGTTGCAGTAAGTAGGAAAATTTTTTTAAAAATCTCAGCAAAGAAGCAAAACTTCTTTGAGCAGACTCACAAGGACGACAGATGACTCAGAGGCTGGACATACAGTGATCTTGCAGAGGGCCTGAGTCTTTAAAAGCTGAAACAAATAATGAATATAAATTCTATACCCAGCAAAACTATCCTTTGGGAGCAGTGGACAGACACTCTCAGAAGAGGAAAAACTAAAAATGTTGCTACCAAAATTAGAAAAAGAATTTCATATTTCAATAAACTTTTCTACATAGATGATCTCTTACTAAATTGACACGACATACAAAATGCTTAAACTGGCTTTGAATAATAAACAACATAAAACAGAGCTGCTGAAGGGTTGGCCCCTCATGAAAAAAACACAAAGGAAAATACGTGTGTGTGCATGAGAGAGCACGCGTGCACACACACACTCACTCACTCACACACTGGCATGAGGGGAAGAGAGTATAAGATGGATACCATAAGAGGTCTTTGTTACCAGGCTTTGAGGAGATACAGCAGATCCTTGCGGGGAAATTCATAACTGTCATCAATTTCACGGGTGACAGTTGTTTTGTGCCTCCAAGGATGAGAATGGTGTGATGTCCTGGTTTGCTTTCTGCTGCTGGGACAAAGACCACAACCAAACACCAGCTGGGGAGGAAGGGGTTTCTTCCAGCTGACAGTTACCGCAGGAACGTTGAGTGATGAACTGAAGCAGAGGCGGAGAAGCGCTGCTCACTGGCCTGCTCCTCCCAGCTCACTCATTCTGCCCTCTAATACACCCGTAATCAACCGGCAACGGGAGCACTGCCAAAGGCAGCTGGACGCTCCCGCAGCGGTCCATCTAAAAACTGCCTACAGATTTGCCTACAGGCCAATCTA